GAAATTTACAAAGTTCTGCATTTACACATTTAATTGCATTTGCACAACATGCTGGACTTTTAAAATCTAGCTTTTTGAACCTTGGGTCTAGTAATGTAGAAACACCATATACTAACTTCGTCTCAGTGGATTTAAAACGGAAATCAAGATTACTAAAACATTTTTCCAGCAACTTCTTTCCCACATTTGTTTCTGTAGAAACCTTGCAAAGTGCATTAAACATCAACCCTAAAAATGGGATAATTTTACTGATGGTAGTGTGAGTTTCTGCTGAAATTTCATTAGTTACTTTGTAAAAAGGTTTTAGTACTTTAAGCGCATCATTCAAAGCATTTAATTCTCTACCAGAGAGCATGTCGGGTGCCCCTGGAAACTTTTGCAATGTTAGTGTAACAAAATTTTTTAGTAGTACAAATCTCTCAATCATCAAGAAATATGAATTCCATCGAGTCTCAACATGCTGAATTAATTTTAATGTCACAGAACCTTTTTTATTCTGCGATGAGTCGGCGTAAACAGACTAACATGGCAGAGTTGAGGATGAGTTTCAATGAGTGTGAGTTCGTTCATTGTTAAAATAGTGTAAATTTGTAAACATATTTGCAAGAACTTTGTTTCATCGCAATTTCTACGAAATTCCCGGACTGTCCAGGTGAAAATCGAACGTGTGGTAACACTAGGAACAAAGAATGAACTGCATGCATCGATGAATCAAAATTCACATATTGCTAACATCGATTCAGGATCGATGTTTCAAAAACATCGGAAGGTCGATGCATCAACGAACAAAAACATCGATGCATCGCACAGCACTAGACTGTACCTAGTTTCAAGAACTCTCTTGAGTCGATCGCGATTAAACCTCGTTTCAGTCGAGATTGAAACGGTCGATGGAGGTTGCACCAAGGCGAACAGGGTATAAGGCTCTAGTTTAGTAGTGTTACAGAGTATAATACGTATATTTTAATATATTTTTTAAAAGAAACAAAACCACTGAGAAATGTTACGTGTGTTTAACAACGGGTTCGGAAAACTTTGAAAATGTTAACAACGGGTTCGGCCGAACCTGTGCGAACCCGCTGAATATCACCACTGGAAACAACCATAAAGTTTTTGATATATAAAGTATAAGTGTGGCATAGCAATTTGAATTCGGCTCCATGATATTGTTGAAATGTCTAAAAATGTAAGGAAGTACATTATTTAAATATTCACCAGTACATTGTGTCTGTCATACTGTGTTTCCCCAAAAATAAGACATCCTCTGAAAATAAGACCTAGCAGAGGTTTTGCTGAATTGCTAAATATAAGGCCTCCCCCCTGAAAGTAAGACCTAGCAAAGTTTTTTTTTACTCGTAATGGTCATCGACAGATGGTTGAAAGTGGCCATTGGCTTTTTGAAAGTACAGCCACTGATTGGTTGGCAGACAATTACGCCACACTTCATGATTTGCATAAGACTATGGCTTGGGAATCACAGATTTGAATGACGTTACGGCTGGTGATGGCTAATTGGTCAGCCGGGAATCATGCCACATCACATTTGCATAGTGCTACGGTTCAGTAAGCACTAATTGGTCATCAAGCCCGATGTCGACGCTATAAAAAGGTTAAGTTGAAGCGTGAGTGGGAAGTCCACTCCAGCACGGGAACTTCGTAAGTTCACTTCAGTTTTATTTAAGTTCAGTTCAACATGACTAGATATACGTCACTCTCATTTCAGTTCGACTTGGGAGTTTTTTGTTCAATAATAAATGTGAATTCTTCTTCATAGAAAAAATAAGACCTAGTGCATCTTTCAGAGCAAAAATTAGTATAAGACACTGTCTTATTTTCGGGGAAACACTGTATTAGGCTGAAGAGGAGAATGAATTGATGTCTCTATCGAAATATTATGAAATAATAGGAATTATTTTTTGTTAATGAAATAATAATAATAATAATAATACAATTAAAAAGCCTTATCATTGGTGTATGACAAGTCTTAAATACTTAAGAAGATGAGTTTACAGAAGAATAGTTATGTACAATAAGAACAAAAAGCTTAAAGCAAGTCAAAAAATATAATATTTCTGTTGAAGTAAATGACAACTTACTTAAACTTGTATATAGTTTTATGTTAAGAGTAAAGTTCTACATAAAATATACATTGTGTAATAACTAAATAAAATAATTTTATAATAATGATTATATGTAATACAATGACTACTAAATGTTTTATAATATAATATATAAAATATTGTAATAATTATTTAAAAAATTACTAATTTATATTTTTAATTTACATATATTTGGTATTATCCTAAAAACTACAGATTATTGATTAATCTGTATATTTGAGAGGTGGCTAGGTTGCTAAAGTGATATAAAGTGCTCCCAAAAATTATAATTTCACTACATTAATGATATATCCCAGATTATCCAGGTAACTGAAAAGGATGACTTTTAGAGTTGCAAAGAAAATTATTATAAAATGGACTTTTACATTTTTTTTCTCCTTTCTTGAGTGATTCTCTTGCAAAACTTGCATAATGTTAGATAACTTCATTTACACTTGCCAAGAAATTGTAACCTCAAAGAAAACAATGTTTTTATTTTCAACAAAAATATTGACAAAAACACAAAAATGAATAAATAATTCAATCTCTGTTATGCTGAATCAACTGGAAAATGGTTTGACATACTTTCAATGAGGTAATCCATCATTTATTGCTCAAGTCTGTGCCACGCTTCTCTTAGCTCTTGGACTGTACTGTACTGACAATTTTCAACATAAATGCAACAATCTCGATGCTTCACAGGTTTAGATTTTATATCAGGTTGAGATTTGGAGATTAAGGTGAATATTGCACAACTGAAATGTTTTGAACTACCAGTTTCTTGTATTGGCACTTGTATGGATGGATGCATTATCATGCATGAAGGTTTGTGAAATATTATCGTAATCTTCTAGAAAAGGAATTAAGAACTGTTCCAAATGGCAGCTGGAGCTTCCCTTGTGCATTGAAGGTTCCGCAAACCATTAGACTTCTACCTTCAAAGTTTATTCTGGAAAAGTAATGTGGTTCCTTTCATATATCATGGCTTGAATCAATCTGGCTCATCAAGGTTTCATTTTTTTAATTATTCCAAATAATCAATTGTATAACTATTTAAGTATTACAAAATACCTATAGTACAAATGAATCCCTAATAAAACTCACTCTTATTCAGTCTATTCTCATGGGCTGTCATCCAAATTCAAGTTGTTTTGTCAGCTGCAGTAATTGCTTTTTTGCTTCCTTTTCTTCCAAATGATGATTGAATTATCATTCAAGATGTTTCTTACAATCTCAGACTTCCAACCACAGTTTATGATGAATCTGCTCACAAAACTTAGAAGAGTTTGATGTTTTGCTTACAATATTGCATTTGTCTCTCCCAGAACCTTTAGTTTGTATTCAGTATTTTTCTTTGTGCCATATTATGCTGTAATTTTTAAGTAATTATTGATAACATGAATATAGGCCTAGTTTTTTTGGTGAGTTATTTTGAGTAGGAAATTACTCTTTTCATCTTCATGTAATGCTTCAGTTTTATCTTTTTCCTTCCTTTAGCTTAGTACCCATGGCATTTTTTTTCTCAGATTAACAGAACTAGTTAAAAATTGTAAAACAACAGAAAGAGCCCAAAATTTTTTCTACAAAATAATACAAATACTTTCCCTGAGGTTATAATTTCTTATCAAATGCAAGCAGCATTTTCTGTTGTTATGCACATTTTTTGCAGTGGACACATTTAATAAAAAAGATATAAGGGTATGCTTTCTAATCATTTTTTGCATAACTTTATCATAGAAACTTTCTTTTAAGTTATTTAGATAATCTAGGATATATTAATGTAGTGAGGTTATAATTTTTGGAGTACTTTATTAGCAATCTAGATTTGTGCTTTGTGCTTTTTAATTTAAAAAATTAGGTTAGTGATTCATCAACGAAATGAGAGTATTTTAGGAAAGATAACAGTATTGAAAATGAAATTTTCATCTGATCAATATTTGTATGATATTTGTTTGCTATTAGTCAAAGAATTTCTATAAAATGTATCAGTCCTAATATGTTTGATGTGTTCAAAAGATAAGTTCTTCCAATTGGGAAATACTTCAAGATTGAATTTTGTATCTACAACTCCCAAGCAGTGGATTCTAAGTATACATACTATACTTTCACATATTCACCATATGCATTGAGACATTTGTACATACAGTTCCAGTTTCTATTTGCAGAATCACTTTTGGATAACATTTGCTGCTTTGTAGTCTGATGTAAACCTCAGAGATGTTTTTTCATAGAGGCAGTGGCACACACAGGATTTATTCTTGGAGGAGCTGAGTTGAACAGATATAGGAATGTTTAATGTGAATTCAATAAAATTCCCATGTTATGTGACTGCTAATTCATAAATAGTATAAAAATAGAATATAACACAGAATATAAATAAAAAAATGAATTTTAATTAGGAAAAGATTTTTGGAAAATTTTCTACTGTTTTCCTTTTTTTTTTTCTTTGGAGGCACCATTGCATAGGGTTCAAAGAGATGATAGTTGCTAACAGCAAGATCTGGGCTGTATAGTTTAGGTAGCACAGTTTGAAGATTCTGGACTACCTGCTATACAGTCCAAATCTTTACTTAGCAACTGTTATCTGTTCAGATCTCTATAGAAACACATCTCTAGGAAGATATTTTTATCAGACAACAAAGCAGATATGCATAAGTGATTCTGCAAACAGGATCTAGCATTGTATATATAGAATATATATTCTCTCCTGTAGCAATGTTGCAATTCATATGATGAATATGTGAAAGAATAATATGTATGCCTAACATCATGCTACATCACTACCCAAATGGTTTTGAAGTAGTCTTGATTGAAACTTTTTGAACATCAAGTATTGAATGAAAAAGTATCTGCAAACTGATTTATACAATATAATTAATATGTATATTTTTTATATTATAGATTGTATCAAATGGAAAGCATTTTCCTGAATGGCAAGAAGAAAATGAAAGTGAAACAGATCAACAAATACCAATTAATAATTTAGTAAAAGGTATTGAAAATCAACTGCCAAGCAATGAAATTATAGTTCATTCTTCTAGTGATCGGGTGGAAACAGATGAATGTCAATTAACTACAAGTGAAGTTGAAATAATGGAATATCAAACAAACAGCATCAATCAACAAGAATCAAAATTATCTGATATTGGTGAAAATGATAATGGTAGCTCTGTAGTTGATCCATTAAGTTCTCGCAATTCGTTAGCAGAGACTTCCCAAACATCTGTTGCTGATCTTTCAGCTCTCTCTGGATTTTCTAGTCCAAGTACAACATTATCTCGCAAATGGAAACCTCAAGAAGGATCACCTGTTAGTACAGCTAGTAGAGCTGCACAGTTACGGCGCACACATTCACTGTATGACAGTGTTGATAATAATAAGCAAGAGATAGAAACTAGATTACAACCCTCACCATGTTCTGATCCAGCTTCACCAGAATCCATCAGGATATTTGTGCCATTTGAATCCCACGTTTCAAATCCTTCATCCCCCGTAAATCATTCCATTCATCATAGTCCATCTGCAACTTCAAATAATGATGTCACTCCCACCAATAATGGCCCATGCATTGCTGATAGTGTAATTGAAATGCTTGTAGAGAACAAAGAGAAAATACAGTCAGAAGAATTACAACCAACTTGATAGTCATTTTTGCACAATCTAAGGGCACAGCCATATTCGCAATTATCAAAAATTACAGTATTTATTTCACCACAAACAAAAATATGCAAATTACCTATTTTTAAATGTGATATATTTTGTGTATATTTTATTTTATTATTTTTAAGAGTGGCTTGTTTCATAATAATGCACATATGTGAAGTATTATTAAAATAGTTTTTATTATATTAATTAAGTATTCATAAAAATGCAATAATTATTATAATAATATATATACAATATATATGTTTAGTGTACTGTGTATTGATAATGATCAAATTTTTAATGTTTAGATCTTTAGTTTACAGTAAAATGTGCAAAATTAGGCAGTAAATTGTGTATCAATATTTGTATATAATGCTCATTTTTAGGATGCTGTGTTAGATAAAGTTGCATTTTAGTTATCAAAGGGCAGCAGTAATTTAATCTGTAAAATTTAAACTACAGATTAAATTCTTGATTTATTATTTATTAAATTTCTTCAGATTAATGTTTTTATCTCCAATTTCAAAATTTGAGATCCAGAATTTGATTGTATAAACATTTTAACTTTTTCATATATTGGATTTGTTCAAGTAATTTTTAAAATATTAATTCATTTATTTAAAAAAGATGTTTTAATTTAAAATTATTTTATATTTCAAATAAATTTAATCCAACTGAGTCATTATTCAGAGTAAAATATTCAAAATTAGGCTTTAATTTTTGCTGTAAAATGCTTTGCGAACAAAATACTCTACCTCAGCAATTTTATTTGAAAGCAATTTTTGTTTAAAATAGTGGTTAAAATTTATTCTAGTCTTTAATCTAGTTATTTTATTTGAGACTAGTCTTCATTTATTTTATTAGAAAGCTTATACATGTGATATATTTATGCACAAATAGGTAGAACATATTTAAAATCCGATTTTGATATTTAATGCTAGATTTCCATTTTAAAAAATTTATAACATTAAAAATTGTTTTGCTGTTATCTCCTTATAATGCTTGATACAGTTTGTCTATTTGCCAGTTGAAGAAATTCTTTTAAATGGTTTTGTTTGAAAAGGGAATAATGAGTGGCATTTTTTTATTTTATAAATAAATGATTAGGTTTTGGAATTTAATAATATTGTGTGAAATTATAAAATGATCAATTATGAACAAAATTTATTTTATGCTCAAGCTTACTATCTACCCAGTTGTAAAATTACAGTAACTGTAAAAGAATGTGTTAAGTGTTGCTACTTAATCATGCTTTCCTTAATTATATATTATAAATGACAATCATATATTTAGCATCATATCCACATTTGATAGAACTAACTTTAAAGCAGTTTTTAAATGTGTTTTGTCTATTATTCTCACAAAGTAAGTTTATTTATTGGTAACAAAGACATGTTACTAAAGCAGCTAATACCTTAATGAAAATTTAATACCTGAATATCCTAAAAAAATATAACAGAATTTTAAACATTTTGTTAATATATGCATCATATACATTTGTATATATGTATTATTGATCACAGAAGACAAATTGACATGATTTAAATTTTTACTTTACATTAAGAATATTTAACAACGATGGTTGTATCAAAATTCTAAAACTTATTTTGAATTATATCAATTTGTCATTTTTGTTGAGGAATACATCATATTGAACAATAGACAAAGGATATAAAATTTTTTGTTATACAAAACAAATGAAGCATTTGTTTTGTATAACAATTCTGAGATTAGGACAACAATTGGAATGTTACACAATTTCCATTAAAAGAATATTTGTTGTTATGTATGAGATTATTTTGTGTAGAAGAAAAAATAGTTTGTGTAAATTAGAACCAAGAAATAAGTGAAAATATTGCTGATTAAACAAGCATAATACTAGTAAACATTGTAATGCAATTTTATAATAATAATAAATAATAATAATAATAATAATAATAATCTCTCTTCTCATTCCTCTTTTCAGCTTTATTTGGCAAATGTTTGGGAGTTGATTAACAACAAATTCTAGAAAGTACTGTACAAGCTGATTCAATAATTTATATTTTGTAGGTATCAGAAAACTGATTTATANCATCCCCTAAAGTTTTATATATTTCTATGCAATAATTGGTCTTGACTTGTTCAAATCTTTGTCATATAAGCTTGGGAATGCAATTTGTGCACCCATCACAACCATATTGCATATTCATAACATTTCATATTAAATTCAAGTTAATAATGCTTATGATAAAATATTGGCTACTAATTGATAATTAGCATTTTATCGTATAGAAATTAATTAGTATTAACAGTAAGATCTAATATTCCATTATAAAAATTTATTATTAGACTATGACATTAATTTTTTCATCTCAAATAGATGAAAACTACTGTGGATATGATTATTATAGAGAGTTAAATTTTCCATTTAAATTGTATTTTTATTTTAATGTCATGCAATTGCATACTTATTATTTTGAGATATTTTAAATTGTGTTTGTTTACTTCTACTGCAAACTTATTTTGGACAGAGTATATAATATATGTACCATGTTCAGATTAGGAAATGATATTATACATGAAATAGTTAATATACATATTTTTAATCTGAATAATAATACTGAAGTTTTGATAGTTTCAATTTTTTTTTCTATGAGTTAATACATTTTTGAATCTATTTTATTGAATATAATTCTTATGTTTTAGTGAAGAGTAATTAATTTTTTATAGCTATATTTATAAGATAACTTTTAATTAAGTGAATTTTTACTATTTAATATTTTTACACTTTTTTTAATTTTATTTTTTGTGTGTAATATTTTTTTTATTTTACAAAGTTTGTTTGCACTTTGCAAATTAAGTTATTTAATAAATTTAACACTTCCAATGAATATCCTGTTTCAGATAGAACTTTTTTTTAATACATGAAAATCAGTTTAAAAGCATAAAGATCTGTAGATTATTTTATTTACATTGTTTACAGGTTCTAGTTCAACTTGTATAATAAATTTATTCATTTGTGAAATTTGTTTTTTTTATACTGTCATATTCTATTATATTAGCTTCTCTCTTTTATGATACAGGAAGACATAATACTTTTTCATTGTTGCTATTTTAATGTTTATTTCAGATTTATAATTGTTATATATTTATAAATTATTATTCCTTTTTTTTTTATTGCTTAAGATCTTGCCTGTCATAAACATTTATCAATGTATGTAATCTTGAATTGTTTTGATAAGTAAGAATTTTTTAAAAGGGAAATAAACAGATTAGAACAATATTGCAAATCACAAAGAAAATGAATAATTTGAGCAATAATGTTTAATCTACAAACAATACATTGATAAGAAGTTATGTTGTTATATATGTTAAAGCAAAATTTAAAGTTTATCATATAAATGGAGCTATTATAGAGAACAATAGTAAATATGTAACAGGAATAAAATAATACAATTTATTGTTAATAAAATAATTTAATGTCATAAACAACTAGAATACACACACACACACACACACACACACACACACAATAATTTTTAGTCTTGATTAAGCGAATCTTTGTTAGACTATGTTTTGAATGCAAAATAGATTTTATATATGATCGAAGTATGCTTTTATTCTATTTGTGTAAAACATAATTTCTGCTTTTATAATTTTATTATTATTTAAACTTTATAGATAATTCAACGATGACCTTAATTAATTATAATCAAAAAATTTTGTGTATATTACATATTTATTACATTAAACTTTTATGATAGTGATTGGATTTTTATTCTTGTTATAATAATAAATATTTCATAAGCATATACTAGATATTTACAAGAGAAACATATTAACTTCTAATATAAAATTGGTATTAAATGGAAATATATATTAGCTTTAATTTATTTTGGTATGGTTTGAACTGAAACAAAGGCAAATGTATAGTTCATAAAGTAAATAATTTTGTTCTCTTAATTTTAAACTTAAATTTATTTCTTGCAGTGACTGATAAAAACTTGCAATAAAAATTTACAGTTCTAGTATTGAGTTCCAGGTCATATCAAGTAAATAATTTTAGGAATTAAGTTAATACAAAAAACCCGTGCAATAATTTTTTCCCATAACTGCCCAGCAATATATTACCTCATATTAGTTGAATAAACCTTTCTTCTAAAATTGATTTTGTATAAAATGATATATTGTAAATATTAATTATTGTAAATAACTATTAATATAGGCTCTGCTTGTTAAATGATAAATAAATTAAAACTGTTGGAGTATTAAAGTTAAAGATATAATTGGCAATTTGCTTTAGAATATTGATAGTATTTTCATAAAATATTCTGAAATTTAGAAGAAAAACTTCTATGTGTAGTCTAGTTAATGTTTGTTTTTAACATCTATTAAAAAAAATCTATGTGCTTTTATGAAAATGAAAGAAATATTGATTTATGCTAGTTTTAACTCTAATATTAATGAAATATGTAAAATATATTTGTAGATATAAATATTAAATGTTGCTCTTTGTTGAGTTTTTGCATATAAAAATGATGCAACACAATGATTACATACAATGGTTAAACTTGTTAGAATGAATTTCCTTGTGTAAAATAAACATCTTTCCTTCTCTTTGTCTGTTTGTCTGTCTTATTTCTTAATTTTAAAACAATTATAAAAATTGTTGCTTTCAAAATCCATCAAATTCTTTAAATTGATTTTTGTTACTTATATATCAAGATATTATTTTACAGCAAATTATATAATAGGATGTGATAATTGAGAAAGGAAATAAAGCAAACAACACACTTATACATCTACAATCTACTTGGTATATTGGATATATACTTAGTGATTTACATCTTTCAGTTCTAAAGTATGATACTAACATATAACCTATATAACCTTACAAGTGATGATATAATAGTATGCTTCAGTCATCTTTAATCCCAGGATCACTTCAAAAATTTGTTTCAAAACCAGTTAAATAAACCATATGATGTATATAACAGTGTGCTTTATATATATATAAATTAAATTTGAAAAAAAAAAAATTTCTATGTACTATTTTCTCATATAGTACATAGAAATTTTTTTTCCAAATTTAATTTTTATCTTGTATTAATTGTAAAAAATTTATTAATTTTTGTTTATTTTGTACATATAAAATTCTATATTGATGATTACTATGTTTGTGAAATGCATCCCCTAAAGTTTTATATATTTCTATGCAATAATTGGTCTTGACTTGTTCAAATCTTTGTCATATAAGCTTGGGAATGCAATTTGTGCACCCATCACAACCATATTGCATATTCATAACATTTCATATTAAATTCAAGTTAATAATGCTAGAATATTTTTTAGTTTTAAAAATTATTGAAAATTTCAATTACAAAAATAAACTTACTCAAATGTATTACAAATATAAATAAAAATTTTTATTTAGTATGCTTTTACAGAAAAAACATTGTTTCAGTTTATAGGCCTATTAAAAGATAAAAATGAATACAGAACAATATAAATATGATAATTTTTTATATAAGAATTTCTATATAAATGTTTTCTTTATTTATTAAATTTCCTCTATAATGCTTATTTTAGAATGAATGAATTATATAGATGCTTGTATGCACCTATCTACGTATATTCACACGCTCATCTTTTATAACATATTTTCAGACTGTTGAAATAGAAATACTTTATTAGAATCTTTAATGACAGATGATACAATTTAATGACAGATGATACAATTTATCATCATCTGTTATTAAAGATTCTATTAAAGTATTTCTATTTCAACAGTCCAAAAATATTTTATAAAAGATGAGAGTGTGAATATACATAAATATTACAAGCATCTATATAATTTAGATACTTTGAATTACTTTGAAATATATTCAAAGCAAGTTCTTTTAATATTTCAGATATGTTTTTCATTTTTTTAATTTCAGAAATATGTGTTAATTACATTTTATAATTAATATTACATGAAAAGGAATAACACTATTATTGATGTAACTTGAATTCTAGAGGCTATCTGGAAAGTTTGGAACAAATAGGATTTACACTACATATGCTTTATTGTTTCTTCTATGTCTACTCTCATTTAAAATATGGCTTCACATGTCCTCCTTGAAGCTCTATGCACTTTCTGAGTCACTGTACAATATTTGGATTTTTTTCAATGTAATGGATTGACAATAATATAAATATTTTTACCATTCATTCCAAACTTTTTAGAATACGCTGTATTTTAATTGAAATCTGATAATGTTGCTCTACTATCCCAAGTGTCTTTAGATTTATAACAAACTTTTAAGGAAACTACACACACTTCAGTTTTTAATGAACTAAAATTTTGTTTCAAGAAATTAATTCTCATTATCATTTGACACAGAAAAATTAAGCAAAGTTCAAATGTAAGTATGGAAACAAATGATTTTTCAAATTTTTCTGTAGAACTTTTGAAGTACAGTAGAGCATCGATTATGACTCCCGATTAACCGTCACATCGGTTAACCGACCGTTCTAGTCAGCAAATTTCAAATGTCCGCTAGTGATGTGGCACTACAATATTTGGCTATGTCTTGGCTACTTTAATATTATTTTTGTTAAATTTTTACGTGTTTTATCTGGCAACCAGCTCAACCATTGAAGATCGACCAGTATTTAAACGAAACTTAATTTTCTAATTATGAGTGGTTGTTTGTTTTGTGAGCAATAATATAATTTTTAACGATACAACAGCGACGATTATTATTTTAAAAAATAATTTGTTAGGCTTAACATCGATGAAAATTCAACGTGAAGTTGGTTATAGCGATATACTAATTACATGGGATATACTAATATACTAATAATGTGTTTTTTTTTCCTTCTTTTCGGTTATCCAATTTTTTCAGTTATCTGACCAACTTGAGTCCCCAATTGAGTCGGATAATCGATGCTCTACTGTATTACTTGAACTTTTGGAACAAAATATTTTTATATTACAAATTTATTCTGTAAAGAAAAAGGTTTGGGTTAAAGATACATTATATTAAAAATATTTTTTTCTTTTTTCACTCACTCCCTTTTCCTTTTATATTCAATAAAACTTACATAGGAGTTTTTATGGAAGCCACTGCAATACTACAGGATGCAAAGTGGATATTAAAAATACAGAAATAATTTGTACAGAGCAAAATATATGTAAAAGAAAACTAAAAGAACATGTTAAAATTATAAATACAGTTAACAAAGTTAACATAAATAATTGTTTAAAAATAAGTAAAATATGGCAAAAATGTATTGTAAATCCTGCAATGACAATGCAAAATATGCATACAACCTTTTGTTACTGTGGGATAGAAATAATTTTGTGAAAACCTGTAACAAGTAATCATTCTTTTAATAATAACAATTCTGGTGTAAAGTACTTAAAGAATTTGAATATGATGTTAAGTGGAAACTTTATAAGAAATTGTAAGATGAATATATTTTATTTTATAAAATTGTAATAATTTTAATTTTACATCAATAAAATTAAAGGAACTGAAGAGGGACAAAAAAATACCTGAAATGAATATCCCTGTATGAAAGAGTACCTCTTGATGAGTATTGCTTCCGAAAAATATATAAGCTTTATTGAATATACACTAACAAATGTATGCAAAAATTAATTTATCTTTTTATATAAATTATGAAACTATTTATATAGTTATAATATATAACTTTAAAATTACTTAAAATGTTGTTTAAAATAAATAAATAACTTATTTAATTAATAGGAACTTTTTATTTATCTAATGTTTAAACAAATAGGATTGTGATCATATAGCTATCAGAAACTTCTGTACTTAAGATTAGAATTGCTTTTCCTAACAAACAAATTTGTTCTAAATGAATAAAAATGAATTGTTTGATGATAATTTGTACCTATATCATTTTGATACAATATTTAATATCAGAAATAGCAGAGCCAAAAATTAGTAAATAAATATTACTAATAAATAATAATTGTTAAATTGAAAGAAATGATGATAAATTGGATAAATCAGAATAATAAAATTAAATCCATAATTTTAATGCATGCTAGAATGACTTTTTTAGGAAGAATTTGTGTATTTGAATGATTATAATATCAATAGACTACTATAGTCATTATTTATTACTTCAAATATTATTCAGTGAAAAATAAATCCTACATGTTGCCTTCCAGATGAATTCTGACCTGCTCCAGGCTTGCCATTGCTGTTCTAGAATGTTAAATTAGAATGAATTAATTAATTTTGGAATAGAAAACATGCTATTGATGCAAGTTTCATTTACATATCTCTATTTGAAGGTTATTGATTGCATTATAGCTACTAAGTTTTTATATTTATTTAAGCTATCTTAAGTATTAATATTAGTTTCATATAAAATTATTTTTCTGCTTGTCAAACTATAAGAAACACTAATGCTTAATAATTGGAAAATCCACTATTTAATGTGAGAGAATTAACTAACTTATTGACTACATAAAAACATTTGATCTAAAATATAAATCTTGATTCCTTGTGTGATTCATAAAGCAGTGAATTTTTTAACAGCATAAATTTAATGTCTAATATTTCATTGAGTTGAATATAATATATATAATATTTCTTGATTTATAATATATAGTATAATGTGCAATGGTATATAATAATTTTCATATTATTTCTATAGATTAAAATCAACATCATTGAAGGGAATATTTTTTAATATTCCTTATGTTTTCTTCAAAATGTTTCTTTGATTTTAATCCTTTGATATTTTTAAGATGAAGCTGCAAATGTTTAAAATGATTTTGTAATCCCAATATTAAATAATAGATGTATTAATAATACCATATCATGGGTTATGCCACAAGTATAGACTGAATTAATTGTTGTTAGGATACCTTCTAGATGAAGCCATAGATCATAAAATGACATGCAGAAGCAAAAAAAATTATCTACTTAAAGTCATATTTAATTGCTTATGGCCCTATTTTTTAATGGATCATCACAGTCAAAATTAAACCGCCCTAAATATGCCACTTCAAAAAGTAGAATTTGGCACAGCTCTGTTTATAAACATCCGCATGCACGACGAAAGCTTAGAAAATCGATGCAATATTGTTGAACGATGCTACTATCCTCCAAAAAACTCGATACTCGTAAATTAAAACAGCAAACTGAATCTAAACGAAAGTTAAATAGACTAATTCTAGTTTTTATTCGAATTATCAACTGGTACGAACATGGCAAAAACCTGTCAAAACTCTCCACACGAAGAACAGGAAGTTATGAAAAGGTGTTAATCGACCTTTTACAAGATTTTTAATGATGATTAAAAACCTTAAAACAATTTTCTCTCTCTCTAACTTTGTTTAAAACTGGGATCGAAGGTCGTTTCCGGTAAATCGAATAACCTAATAACCTCGACATTACGGAAGTCCTAAATTAACATCTTCATTCGACCTAATTTTTGTAAACAAATTAGATCAAACTTGGCAACCAAACAGTCGAAAAAACTAACCTTTAGGAAAAAATTTCTTTTATGATCTCATTTTAATTAAATATGTGGCATTAACATACTGACGTATGCAAGATGCAATCTACTTTTAAATGCATTTATTTGTTTGGAGATTTAAATTTATTTTTCGAGACAGGCGCTTCTTTTTTGTTCCTGTTTTTAACACTTCCAGGTTACATTCTGCCTTTAAGGCTTTGAGAGAATGTTGACCGAGTACCCCTGCTTGCTCGGCCTTTATATATAGTCTGACATCATCGAAAACATTTCAAAATTCCGAGTTTGATGTCGGGATAACATTCGGATCATCTGTTCCTCTACTTAAACAGGTAATGCATTTTAATATAACTTCCATTACATCATGTTTTTATTCATATTCACTTGTTTACAGAAAGGATGAAGTCTTTCGTGTGTTTGTTGTTATTGTTTGTGGTTACCTGTCACGCACAAAATCCTTTAAGTAAGTACCGTGTATTGTTACATAAAATCTATATAATACGCTGTTTAATATAGCTTTAGTAATAATTTATAATAAAGGTGTTCATATTTCCTTTATGGATTTGCCCGTCAGTTTTTATACTTTTTTCAGTTTAAACTCATACATTTAACAAACATAATGAGATGTAAGATTATATGCTTTTGTATAGTGTAGAATAATAAGTTATTTAATATGAAGGCTTATGATAATTTAATAATCTTGAATTTAAAACACAATGTTAATTTAGTCTAAAACTGGTCATGTTCTGAATCCATTTTGTTCTATTTATCGTGTTGAGCATGATTTTTAAGCATGCTGTCACTTGAAATTATATTCAATAGAATTTAAGATTTTATTGAGCTTAACTGTTTTTATAGCAGTTTACTGGATGGAAACTGATTAAGCTTACTTTCCACCTTTGGTCTTATCTTTTCCACATTGCTGTACGAGACTATCGCTAAATTTACTATTATCTATTTTAATTTATGATTATTAATTATGATAAAAACGCTTATTGTAAGTTAGTTTTAATTGTCATTTATATAGTCCATTTTGTATATTTGTTTATTCCAAATTAAATGCATTTAGTTTTCATTGATCTGATATTTTATTCGTAAATTTTTAACCTTTTATAGATATCCTATCGCTGGTCCGTTTACAGAATTCAGCATGTCAAGGTGAAAGAGGAGATCAGGGTGTATGTATCACATCTTCGGAATGTGCTCGAAGAGAAGGATTAAATATGGGAACGTGTGCAAGTGGTTTGGGAGTCTGTTGTTTCTGTGAGTACAACTTAATTACATTGTTTACATGTAATCATTTATTCTTTTACATTATCTTCGTTTCTGTTCAGTGCGTTTTACGTGTGGTGGAGTGACTACGCAAAACAATACTCTCTTCGTTAATCCTAATTATCCAAATAGCGAAAATGGTACAGATACTTGTCAAGTAACTGTAGAAAAACAAGACAACGTATGCCAACTTCGACTCGACTTTCTCGAGTTTACACTTGCTCAACCGGACTTTCTGGGCATGTGCGCATGGGATTCGTTTATGGTAAGAACCACAGTTGGGGAGCATTTACCTATTTTATGTGGCGAAAATGGCGGCCAACACTGTAAGTATTTATTTATTTTTTGATCGTTACTATTCATATTTTTATACTATTTACTGTTAATTAAAACATTTTTTGTGTAAGTTACTATAATTTTTTTATATAGTGTACATTGATATGGGAAGAGGATCGGGCAATCCTGTAGTGTTGAGTGTAGTCAGCAATGGTGACAAGGTAGCCAGAAAATGGAAAGTCAAAATCAGCATGATCCAGTGCAACAGTCTGGATATGGGTAAGTTTTATTCAAAATCTTACGATATAATGCATTCTTTGCGATAGCATTTGCGATGCAGACAGCATCATCTCTAAATCTAATAAGATATGCCATTGTAATATTTCAGTTTCTGCAGTATTAGTTTCAATTACTATTGTCTGTTGTAAAGCATTTGTGCATCGGTTCTCTCAATTGGTCAGTTGCTTACTTTTAAATTTAATTGCATTATTGCAGCTCCTCCAGGATGCGTTCAGTATTTCCGAAGCCCTAGTGAGACTATACGCAGTTTCAATTTTGGACCTAAATTAAAAGGCCGAGTTCGCTACTTAAGTAATTTGAGATATACAGCGTGTGTTCGAGTGGAAGAAAATTTTTGTTCTATTAAATGGGAATTAGAAAATCCTAATTCGTTCTCTTTCGGAATACCTTCTGAAGATGGTAATAGTGGCGAAGTATGCAATGACGATGATTTCATAGGCATCGACCAAGGATCTCTAGATGGTTTTGGACCCGGAAACGATCGATTCTGCGGAGAACGTTTGCTGAATAAGAACGTTATCATTTGTAAGAAACTTTAATACTCTTATTTCTAGTTGGAATGCTTCTATAATGACATATTGTACAATATTCTGTTTTTAGCACGAAGCAAACCCTTCATGTTAAAAGTCAAAAGCAATAGTGATGCCGTCATCAACTCGAATTATTCACAATACGGCTTCTCTCTAAAATATACAGAATTACCGTGCATGATATAGGTAGTAGAAACTAATTTTGTATCTAATTTAATAATTATTTTTAAAATCTTAAATATTTTAAATTAATTCTTTCAGAATCATTCTACATCAATTCTTATTTATTTCAAGTTTTCGCACATTTATTTATTGTTTATTTTAAGACGTTTGCAACGTGTACAGTTTACGATGGATATTTTCATAAAAATAAAAATTTAATTGCCGGCGAGTAACAGTTTCACTTGTGTTTGGAGTCAATGATCTTCGAGACCTTGACCGTGCTCTACTTCCGCATTACTCGAGACTCCGGTTCTAACCCCGGGATATTTTAGTCGTACGAGAATTTACGGAATTTTATGACGTCATTGTTTTGAGTTTAACTGGTACGTCAACGTCACAAAGTTGCAAGATACTGTATATGATAACTGATTTCCTATTGCGACAGATTGTGTCATATAATTTGCAAAATATCTTGTGGAAAATTTCGCGAAAAGAATTGCTCTCTTAGTTTAGTGAAGTTAATTCTACCCTAGTTTCGGGTAGATATAAACAATATAAACAATTTAATGTGCTTATTTGTTTCTGAACCTGATACAAATCTGAATATCCTAATTCTTTTGAGATATAAGACTTGGATTCCTATAAGAAAACATGTATTATTTATAATTTGCCGAGACACTATAAATTCTATTTTATTGATTTTTTAATTAAAAATTCAATTGTTTAAATTCAATTTGTTCCAAGAATGTCAATGACAATAAATCCGATCAAATATTATCGATATACTGTAGTGAGATTGTTCATTTTTTAAAAATTAAATCCGATCGTTTAACATCGTGTCGTGAAAATTTTTATATTTGGATCTATTTATTAAAAATCATACATTCTTATACCATATATTAAATCTAAACGAAAGTAATAAGAAGCGATTGAACATTATCTGAATAGAATTTTTGTGAACATAACTTTATCATCAGAATTGTATTTTATTATAAGATTTTACTCTCGATATTCCAGATATATTTTCATTTTACGAGGACAAGTCAAAACAAATTGAGACTGATTTTTTTCTTACATTGTAATCACTCTGGAGTTCGCTGCCAGATGATTGAAGTAATTAAGGCGCCAGCTTATTGCTCTGATGGCCCGGAATCAAATCCGGCCAAGAAATTCCGGAATTTCTCATGCTATGTCCATTCTGGATATGTCGAATTTCATCCCTCATCATCCGGTCATCCCATTGTGTAAACATAGACGAACTCGTGATTGGTGTAATTAAAAAGATTCACTAGTATCCTTAGGATGAAAAAATGAAAAAACGGGTTGTAGCGACTATTTTTTCCATAATATTCCCATAGAATTTAATATCCTCCTGTCTTTTCCACCAGTTCTTGAAGATATGCAGTACTTTTGAAATGTTTTCCAGGATCGCCTGGGATGCTTTAGCTACTGGACGAGAAATAGGTTCCGCGTAACTTTGACTTCAGTACTAGAAATATAGGAATGCCAAATCACGGGATATCAAATCTAGGCTCCGTGGTGAATGAGGAATGTGTAAGATGTTTTGCTTGACCAAAAAGTCAGTCAGCATCCTAGCAACATCCTGGTGCGCATTGCCATGGTGGTGCCAATTATTGGCATGGAGATGAAGCATTTCTGCAGACGCAATATTGTGGAAAGACATAATATTGTGCAAAACTGACAGGTAGTACTGTCTGGCCTGTTGTATTCAGCGACCATATTCGTGCACTATTCCTTTGGCAATCAAAGAAAGTTAACTATTACCTTTCCAGCTGATGGAGTCTTCTTTACAGTAGTTGATGATGGTGATGATGATTTCCATATTACGTTAGCTATATCTCAGGATCGAAGTGATATAGTCAGGTTTCATCACCAGAGACAGCTAATTTCAAAAATTACACTCAATTTAGTGGTTCCCAACTTTTTAAAGACCAGGCCCTTTTTGTAAAAATTGTGCTTCCTTTACACTTTAAAAGCATATCGAACTATCATTTTATTAAGGCGCCTTTTATTCTAATAAAACTAAGTTTGTTCGATAGTACGCAATTAAATTTAAAACAAAATCAAAGTAAAATAGCATAAACACTCTTTTCATCAAATAAAATTTAATGTTGATGATGTAATGACCAGAGATGGAGAGTCGGCGGAAAAATACACTACTCCCGACTAGCGAGTCGGTATTTTTTAAAATCGACTCAGACTTCTGACTCCCATAAAAAGATTCGACTTCCGACTCCGATTGTCCATCTCTGGTAATAGCGAGGTTGCGGCCGAAGTTTTCATCTCAAAGTTTTCGTGAACGTCGAGTCGAGCGCTCGACTTTCACGAAAACTTCAGCCGCAACCTCTCCAATGACTATAATAATTTTACTTTATGTATTCAAAATAAAAAATACGGACGGAGAAATTCAACAAAAAGAAATTTTAATGTACCGTCGCCAGGGGGCAGCTTCAAAATCTACATATTCCAGCGCTTTTTTAATAGATATAAAGCAGAACCACCCATTGGCCAGATGGATAAGAAGTAAGACGTCTGTGTCACCGATTCCTTTACTTTTAATTGGATGTTTATGTTTTTTAAAGGACTTTTTTACCTTATGGCGGCATGTAGCCTAAAAAGGAAGGCCTGTTGCCATTACTGTGTATGTCTGAAACGCAAAATAAATGGTGATCCTTATTGGACAGACTTGTCTTTGATATATTTTAATGATTACTTGCCGTTTGCAGAAACAGACAATTTTTTATACCATTTCATAATCATTTGGTTGTGTTGTAACTTCTAGATGAGTCCCTTTTATTCTATTTCCTGTTAAATTTTTTGGTGAATCTGAAACATTGCGAAGGCGTAAAAACGTGATGTATTAAATGATTGTTGGGTGATTATAGACCTTACAATATGTAGATAAAGATCGTTAATGGAAAACTTATGAAGAGAAAATGTAATTCTGGTATTTGTAAAATGTAAATGTAAAATGAAAATACTGTGTCAGATTTTACTTTTCAGGAATTTTTCCCAATTTTAGGTTTTCGTCAAAGATCTATATTAAGTTCTCTTTTCTTTATAGCATATATTAATAGAACTCCAACAATTCCTGATTCCTAATCAGAAATTGTTGGAGTTCTATTAATATATGCTATATCAAAATAATAAATGCTGCAGTTGTCATAAGTTATAGAATGATTTACAACTCTAGTCAATACAGCATTAATAAATACAGTGGTACCTCAAGATACGAACTCCCCAGAATACGAAATTTTCAGGATACGACATGAAATTCGAACATATTTTTGCTCTACGATACGAACAAAAACTCACCATACGACGTTACATTAGTTCGCAGCGCCATTTTTTATTCACTTCTGTTCATTGGTCTCAGTCCGCGTGTTTGCTTCGTAGTGGATGTCGCTCGATAAAGGAAATCTTCAGATATTATCAGAAAGTGACTGATGTTATTGAAAAGAAACATTCCGAAAAGGTTCACACTGGCCGTATTGCTGCTCAGTTTAATGACATTTGCCTAAGTCATTTTAGTACATTTTAAAAAGTAGGCAAAGCCAAACTTCTTTGGATAGATATTTTACCAAGCGACCTCTATGCAGTGAAAGTGCTGGTGGAAGTGAAGGAAAGAAAGCAAAAAGCAGTGAATAAAAATTAAAATATATATATATATATATTTTAATTTATACATATATATATATATATATAACAACAATAATTTATATATATACTGTATATATATAAAACAACACTAATTTTTTTATCTTTTCTAAGTTATTTTTAACTTATTGTTACATTATGTTACGTAAGTTAAGTTTTAGTATCATTTCCCTTCTCCCTCTCCTCC